ATGTTGGATTGAAAACAAGAGGCTTCCAGCTGTACAGGATTTAAAGTTATAGATAGATTAAGATTAAGGATTAGGATTAAAAAAGTTTAAGGAAATGGAAATTTGTTTTTTAAGAGGTAAAATTTTAATATTATATTATATTAAGATCAAAGATTGGGATTAAAAAAGAGGGAAAGAAATTGCTGGACAAACAATTTGAACTGGAATACAAAAGAGGGAGGTACGAGGAGGTCCGGAAAATAAGTAAACTTAAAAATGGAGATGAAAAGGTGATATTGTTTTTAACTGTTTCTTTTCTTTTCTTTTTTGTCTTTTCTTTTTTGTTCTTTTTTCTTTTTTTGGATTATGTATGTATCTTTGAATTGTGTATTTCTTTTCTATGTTTTCATGTTTGGCTTTTATTGATGTGTTCTTTTTGTTGGAGGATTTAGTAAATATCATTTTTAAAAAAAAGAAATTTTGCTATGTTGGAATTGTTAATAAAAAAATATTTTTAAAAAAGAGATGTATTCTGGGTTTGTTTGTTTGTTTGTTTGTTTGTTTCATATATTTATATCCCACCCTGGCATTCTCACAATTACTAACAGTGGCCTGGACTCTGGAGCACAACTCCAGAGTTTTTAATAACTCTGTTCTTGTGGAACAAAGATTCCTTCATTGCTTTGAGTTCCTCTGGGGCCACATGTTCCATGGTTGCTGGGAAAGGTACAGGGGGCAGGAGACGGAGACTGATCAGGTAGTGGGAAGCCAATGGATCCTGGAAACAGCACACCCAACACTGTGTTAAAAGTTTTGAGAAAATAAAATAAAGGCCATTTCCTGTGGCTTGGAAAGCAAGCTTGCGGGTGGGGTGGGCTTCTTCTTATTCCTTCCCTGCCCACTTCCATTTATCAGGGATGCACGAGGGCCTGAGAGACAGTAGCACAGCAGCCTTGAAAGCTTTGATACCTGGTAACTGAGTGGAGAGCTCGGGCTGTTCCTCCTCCACTGTCAGAGGCAATATGCTCATGTCCTGCTTGCAGGCTTCCCACAGACATCTGGTTGGCCACTGTGAGAACTAAGACCATTGGCCTGATCCAGCAGGCTCTTCCTTGCATTCGAAGAAGAAGAAGAAGAAGAGGAGGAGTTTGGATTTGATATCCCTCTTTATCACTACCCAAAGGAGTCCCAAAGTAGCTGACATTCTCCTTTCCCTTCCTCCCCCACAACAAACACTCTGTGAGGTGAGTGGGGCTGAGAGACTGCAGAGAAGTGTGACTGGCCCAAGGTCACCCAGCAGCTGCATGTGGAGGAGCGGAGATGCAAACCCGGTTCACCAGATTACAAGACTACCACTCTTAACCACTACACCACACTGGCTCTCTTAGGGAGAGAAGAAGAGAGGAGAGGAGAAGCAGCAGTGCGATGGTACAGCAGGAACCCCCAGAGAGCATCTTGCCTAGGGCCCCCCTCAAACTTGGCAGTACCAATGATGGCTAACAAATCGAATTTCATTGAAAATCAAGTGCAACTAATAAGATCGTTTCCCACTCCCACCTGCTACAAATGGCACGTTTCCCTACATTTCAACGCACACCTGCCCGAAGTTGGTGTGTGTGTGTGTAAAACATAATCCCCTGGGGAGGCCATCCTAAAACCTCTCAAAGCAACACACCATGTTCCACAACTGCTGCTAACCTTAGGGTGGGAAGAAGCATCTGTTCGGATGTTTGCAAGCAAATCTTTTGCTGTATTGCAAGATTGTAACAAAACGGAGAGATAAATAGTGAAACAGTAAAACAGACTGTCGCTTTTGCATTGTGGTTTTTTTGTTTTTAAAGGGCAGGAGGAACCTTTATATTCCCCTGCCATGCAGACTTCAGTTCAGTGTTGTTTGCATTTTGGAAGAGGAGCAGAAGTACTGTTTTAAGTTATGGGATGCCTGGACTCCCACTCTTAATTCCTGAACCCCTTTTCTAATTCCAGGGTTCCAGGCATTGAATTTAGCATGCTTAAAAATCAACCCAGGAGCCAGCCTGGTGATAAAGGGAGTGGCAGCCTATTAGCTGGGATAAAGGGAGTGGCTCAGTGCCAGAGAGTAAATAAGAGCCCCCACCCCAACTCAGAATTAATGAGAAAGCCAAAAGTCTTTGAAGGAGAGCAGTTGTTTGGAGGATTGCAATTTGCCTGATGTAAGCTGGAGGAAAAGTTAGTTAAGGTTTGCAAGAAGCATCAAGCTGAAGAAAAGGGCATCAAACTGCTGGCAGCAGTGGGAGAAATGGAACCCTCCTGGCGTGTAATTCTGGAAGCCCCTCCATCGTAGGCCCAAGTTGCATATATGTGTAGATAAACCATATATCATAAAGACACCACGGTCTCCCCTGGGCCTCTTTTCCAAAGGAAACACAAACCCTGGATAATCTTCTGGAACCCCTGGAATCTTGTACTGCTGTGGAGATTTGGGTGGCGTGTAACAGTACATTAAATTTTAGCCTAAAAATAAAGATAATGACTTAAGTGACCTGATTTCTGATTTGTATATCACTTTTCTTTTTCCAGTAGAGAGTTTCAGAGTCTGACATTGGAATATACTTGATATTTTAAATATATTCAAGCCAACTTGTCTCCCTGGTCTTTAATCTTTGAGTAAAACATTGATAATCCTTCCTGACCTCAGCTAAGATCACACCATCACCCTCAATAAGGGGGGGGGGAATCTGAGGGGGGAGTGTGCATGGGTGTTATTTGTTTACATATGTGCAGTTTTTAAATTGGCTATTACCTAGAATTGATCCTGAGCAAATTTACATTATGAAGCAAAAGTAAAAAAAACAACCCAAGCCAGGTTGAAACTGACCCTCTGTCAACCCTGATTTCGCATAGGAACTCTGAAGATGAAATGCAATTTGATATGGTGTGAAAGAAAGCCATGAAGTATTGCCCTTAATACAAAGTGTATGGTGATGAATTCTATTTTTTAATAAAATGCCTTCTAATTTTTCATGGTCAGGACAGACACGCCGATCCATATATTCATAGAGGCAAGTTTTGCATCTCATCACTTGCACACAGTTGGGTCAGAACCAATCTGCTTTAATCTGATTTTATTGAAAACTTCGTAGGAGGTTTAATCTATCATTACTGAGCCAAGCCTATGGGATAGGACAGGCTAGACGTTTTAGTTTAACAAATAATTGGATTTTTTTTAAAAAAAGAACTGTCTCTGCAGCTGAATAAAGCTTAGAAAACCTGCCAGTAATATAAGGTGCAATTGAATTATTAAAGAATGGTGTGGGTGTTATTAGAAAACTCATTCGGGTCATCCAAAAGTTATGGGCACCATTACAAGATTGCTATACAACAGAAGCTTACTGAGGACATAAGAATTTAAGAAAAGCCTGCTGAATCAGGCCACTGGCCCATCTAGTACAGCATCTTGTTCTCACAGTGGCCAACCAGATGTCTGTGTGAAGCCCACAAGGAGGAACTGAGCATAAGAGCACTCTCTCCTCTTGCAGTTTCCAGCAACTGGTATTCAGAAACATACTGCCTCTTCTTCTTTGGCGATCACTCATGGCCAAATACGGTTGTCTTCTACGAACACAGTTTTAACAGTGAGGCCGTAAGGGACTGTGGAGGCAAATTCTGGATCCTCACGTCCTTTCACAGTGGGCAGCGGCGGAGCAAGCCGATCGGGCAACTGGGGCGGTGCGTGTGCTCTGTGCCCAGGGGTGGGGTCAGCAGCCCATAGAGACGGGGCCAGCTGCCCGCAGGGCGGGGCAAGCTGTGGCAGGATGCTCCGCGGGGCCTCTGGAGTCTGCCTGCCTCCTCCCACTCAGCTGCCCTACAGCTGAGGGGGAGGCGACGGGCAGACTGGGGCAGCGCGGAACCTGCGGGTGCTCAAGCCACATGTCACTCCCAGGAGAGACGTGTGGCTCGGGCACGCTGCAGGCCCCACGGTGAGTGCCGCCCAGCATTTTGTCACCCCCCCAGTGGTGACACCCAGGGTGGCCCGCCCCCACTGCACCCCCCTTCCTCCACCACTGACCGTGGGGACATAGGTTTCCGGGTGGGAGATGATCTCATTGAGGGTTTGCCAAGTGTGCCTTCCTCTTAGGACGTTTCTCCCTTTCATCCTGAGTTCAAGCTTCTTCAAAGCCCATGACACCTTTGGTACAGACTGTTCTCCAATCGGAGCGCTCGCAGGCCAGTGTTTCCCAGTTGTCAGTGTTTATGCTACTTTTTTTTTTAGATTTCCCTTGAGAGAGTCTTTAAACCTGTTTTGTTGAGGTTTAAATACTGCCTCTAACGGCCTCTGTGAATCTGTCTAAATGTCTGTCCCTGGGTCCTAGTGTTATGATAGATGGAGAAAATACTTTTCTCTATGCCATGCATAGTTTTACATACTTTCATCATGTCAGCTCTGCAAACTGAAAAGTCCCAAATAGGTTCAAATAATAAACTCCTCCCCTCTCTTTTCATAGTTTCAGCAGCAAGCAATGAGTAAGCTGTGCATCATTTCTTGTCCATAAGCAAGGATCGTCCCAGGGTTGCATGTTTCTCTGCATTGTAATTAAAACTGCCCTGACGGTAAGTCACCACAAATCAAGAGTGATTTACATGCTGGCAGTGAAATGTCTCCCATCAGAGAAGTGCCAGAGTCATTGCACTCAGCACTACTATGCTTTGGCTTTTTCACACTGGAAAGTCCTCCTGAACACGGTGGCTTTTTCCTATCCATTTTTAAGATCGCCATTACAACAGCATTGAATCTGACCTCGGCCTTTGAGCCATTTAATGCAATTAAAAAGCAAAGCAAAGCAAATGCTGTTTCTAAAACCATAAAAATTGAGCACAAACAGAAGCATTTAACTTAATGGGAATCTATGAAGCCACATTAGACAAGGAAACACAGGTCTCCTGATATTAATATCACTTTTGTTTTGCAATAGTGTCCCTTGTTCCACAAATAAAACTTTAATAAGCTGTTTATACTGCAATATCATGTGGTGTAAAAGAAGGGCCATATAGCTCAGTGGTAGAGCATCTGCATTGCTTGCAGAAAGCTCAGGTTCAATCTCTGGTATCTCCAAGCAGGATTGGGAATGCTTCCTTTCTGAAACCTTAGAGAGCCTCTGTCAGTCAGTGTGGACAATACTAAGCTAGATAGGAGAAAGGCCTGGCTATGTACTTATTGTGGGACACGGGTGGCGCTGTGGGTTAAACCACAGAGCCTAGGGCTTGCCGATCAGAAGGTCAGCGGTTCGAATCCCCGCGACGGGGTGAGCTCCCATTGCTCGGTCCCTGCTCCTGCCAACCTAGCAGTTCGAAAGCACGTCAAAGTGCAAGTAGATAAATAGGTACCACTCCGGCGGAAAGGTAAACGGCGTTTCCATGCGCTGCTCTGGTTCGCCAGAAGCAGCTTAGTCATGCTGGCCACATGACCCAGAAGCTGTACGCCAGCTCCCTCGGCCAATAAAGCAAGATGAGTGCCGCAACCCCAGAGTCGGCCACAACTGGACCTAATGGTCAGGGGTCCCTTTATGTACTTATTACCTTTTTCCATTTCAGGAGTTTCTCTGTTGTTCCAAACAGAAAGTCCCTTGCTGATCTTTCCCTGTTCCTGTTCCTCCGATCCACACCGCCCAGAATATCTTTCTCTCACTTCTCAATCATATGTCAATTACTGGACGAATATGATTTCGTCTTTCACTTTACAGGAAAAGAGAGACAATTGCCCCAAGTAGTAAGCTAGAATCTGTTTTATCGGATTGTACTTCTCTTCTCATCCATAATCAATTGGACCTCAGAGCAATTTGTTACACCCGAGTTGCATTTGTGGCAACATCCATCTAAGGCATGCTTTTGAATTATTTATTGGAAAATTAAATGGCAAAATGTCAGGTAGCTGAAGTTAAAAATTTCTGCAATTGATGAATATAATATTTTTCATGTGTTACTAATACATATAATTCTCTTCCCCCGTAACCACTTCATTCCTCCCCCTGCCACATGAATGGTCAGCACCTTGATCTGAGTGATGCACACATCTAAATCCTTAACCTCATCTACTTACCCGTATACTTTGTCTGAACAATACGACCCATCTCCATCCTGAGACCTTCTTTGTCCATGGTCTTGACACTACTGCTTCCCATAATCTATCAGTCTAGATCTAATTTATTCTCCTGTCTGATTTCATAGCTTGAATCTGGTCCCTAGTCTTCTCTTGACTTCTGTTCCACAAACCAGAATCACATTCCAGATTCCATTCCCAGAAGAACATTACTGTTCTGCAGATAACGCTAACTGGAGTCTACCAGGAGCCCGCATGTAGGGTTTACCAGATCTACAAATAAGAATCCTGACTAGAAATTAATTTTTTTAAACCTAAAAGGCAGGCAGAAATGAGTGATTTGCTTCATCTGTTGCCTAGCTCAAGGCAGTATCTAGGCTATTTACAATCCAGTATAAAAACACCTTTCAAATTCCATCAAGGAAGGTCTTAACCTGGAAACCCAAAGGGTGTCTGTTGGTACCACTTGGGTCTCAATCAGGAGAACATTCCCTAGGCAGGGAGCAACAACTTAAAAGGTCATCTCCCTTGGGACCACCCTCTAAGACAGGGGTCAGCAAACTTTTTCAGCAGGGGGCCAGTCCACTGTCCCTCAGACCTTGTTTGGGGCTGGACTATATTGGGGGGGAGAGAATGAATGAATTCCTATGCCCCACAAATAACCCAGAGATGCATTTTAAATAAAAGGACACATTCTACTCATGTAAAAACACGCTGATTCCTGGACCGTCCGCGGGCCGGATTTAGAAGGCAATTGGGCCGGATCGGGCCCCCGGGCCTTAGTTTGCCTACCCATGCTCTAAGCGGAAGGACTTTAAATGATGTTCATAAAGTCTGGGTAAGTTCTTATCAGGAGAGGTAGCCAATCAGGTATTGTGTTCTTCAACCATATAAAGCGTGGCAGGTTTAAAGCAGGATTGTACATCCACAGGTGTGCATCAGAATTCCTGACCCATATAAACATTTCCTGGATAAGGGCTTAATGCCTGTGACTACCTCTTCAGGTGTGTTTGTGTGGGTATCATTCACAAAATACGTTTCAGTAGTGACTTCTTTCCAGATTCCATTGCTTTCACATCTTGCATCCATCAGATTGGAGCAAAATACAATATAAGCCATTTTCTACTTTTTTTAAAAAAAAGGAGAAAAAAAGTTCCCTTAGCAGGTCACCTTCAATAGAGAGAGCTGGTTGCTATGGCTGGGGACTAATGAGGTATTGATTTTTATCTTGAGAGCTGGTGACTGACAGAAATTTCCCCTCCAGTAGTCTGTGCAATGAAAATCGTAGGCTGCTGTTACAGCTGTCTTACTTCTTCTGGGAGACGGGGAGAGATGATTTAAAAGAGAATCCATATGTGGCAATACTTTGCCAGCACCTCATATTGCCCGTTTGTTCCATTTTAATTTACAATTATAACCCACTCAGGTTCAATGCAAGTGACATTTTAAAAGAGGTGTTTGTGTAATGCAATCCAACCCTATGCGAGTTTACTTAAAAGTAAGTCCCGCTGCATTCGGGATCAGCAGCTACACCAACACAGCTATTTTAGGTCTCTAGCTTCAGGAATTATTGCATTTATTACAGTGGTACCTCGGGTTAAGTACTTAATTCGTTCCTGAGGTCCGTTCTTAACCTGAAACTGTTCTTAACCTGAAGCACCACTTTAGCTAATGGGGCCTCCTGTTGCCGCTGTGCCGCTGGAGCACGATTTCTGTTCTCATCCTGAAGCAAAGTTCTTAACCTGAGGTACTATTTCTGGGTTAGCAGAGTCTGTAACCTGAAGTGTATGTAACCTGAAGCGTATGTAACCCGAGGTACCACTGTACATTTATATCCCACCTTTTCACTAAAGGCCATATACTTGGTTCTCATGCCTTTCCCCCACATTTTATCCTCTCAACAACCATGTGAGGTAGGCTAGGTTGAGAGAGAGTGAATGGCCCAAGGTCATCCACTGAACTTCACCTTTCAGTAGGTAGTGGTTGAACTAGGCAATAGATATTGCTGCAGTAGACTAGAAGGTCATTTGCTGATATCAAGCACTCCCTGTCCACCAGATTATTATTTTTTACCATCCAGCCAGAGCCAACATTGTACAGGAGCTTCTGAGCAAGTTGGCATAGTGATGCTTATATTTGCGTTCATATTTGATCTAACATCAGTGGAAGTCTCTTTCTCCCCTCCCCCCTCTCCCATTCACCTTCAGTAAATCAAACAGTGTTTTGAAAGAAACAATAGTTAGATCAATGCCTGGATGCAGGCCACAATTTCTTAATAAAGATATTGGAAAACAATGTGCATACAGATTCGTTCTGTGAAGCTTTGAAAAATTAGCACATGCTGGATGCATTTTGACCAGCGCTGTGCAAAACATTTCATCCTTTGTTTTTCTCCTTACCAGGCAGCTGGACTGAATGGATCTATTCAAATCTGGTCTTCCGGGTCTTTTGGTCCAGCACTAGGGGCTCCTGTCCCCAAAGCACACCCTCACTTAAGCTCTGCTGTTATGCTTCTTCAGATGCTTTTGCCTGGCTGGGATTTGTCTTTGCACAATGAAAATGTCTCTTGCTTGCCTGAATGGAGGATGGAGAGAGGGCTAGGGATGCAGTAGAAAATCAATTTCATTTGCATGTAAAGGTGAACCATCTTAACTTCCATTTATCATCATCATCATCATCATCATCATCACCATATTTACAGCCTGCCTTTTCCCCTGACAGGACAATCTATTAAAAACATACAGATAATTACAATAAAATCAGAATGGCACCAGTCAGTTCCCGAAAGCCTATTGGAATAAGAAGGACTTCTAAGGACAACAAGGAAGAAGCCACTCACTTCTCTAGGGAGGGAATTCCGAAGTCTGGGAGCAGCCACTGAGATGGCCCAAAACAATAAACCAAACACAAGCATCCTTAGAAATCTGCACTTCTCCAAACTAGGCAATGTATACAAAAGTGCATATGCTAAGGTGCATAAAAATGCATATGTTCATGAAATAACATATAAATGTGTCTACAGGGAGAAATCCACAGTAAAGTGCAAATTAATTTTCACAAAGGCTTTCTTTTTTCTTTTCTTTTTTTTGGTGGGGGGCGGGTAATACAAACTGTTGTGGAAATATGGACTACTGAATTTAAGATTGGGACTGTTAGAAACTGAGAGAAACTGAAACGGACAGATTTGTCCAAGCCTAGAGAGGTGGGTGGGTGGGTATGTAAACCTCTAACTTTTGCATGGGTGAACTGTAACCTATTACACAAGAGGGCAAGTTACATCTGTTGCCCTGCCCATTTTAGCCTCTGGCCTTACACACCACTGGTTTGTGGTCCCCAGAAGGTTGCTCATGAGAGAATGGCACTCTTGGGCTGAAAAAGGTTCCCCACTTCTGCATTATCCTGTACAATGAAGGACAGGAGGCCATATTTTTTTCAGCATTAAAAGATTATAACAATGAAGAGGCAATATTTCTGCCATGTCTGACTTGCCTGTGTTTTTCTTACTAAATCACCCATTAAAGGTCCCAGGAGCTTCCTCAATATTCAGTGCTTTGATGATTTTGCATATCACATAACTCCTTTCCCTATGACGGCCGTTCCAGCTCTCATAAACAAGTCCGCACCAAAGCTCCCACTGGTTTCGGTGTGATGAAAGCAGAACTTTCTCTTCCACCTATTCAGGTGTGAGATGATATTTATTTCCGTTTGTTTTTTCTCTCTTTCAGTTCTACTCCCTGATGATTACATTCCTGCCCTGGCAAGGAAATGCTTTTTAAAAAGTGTCACCTCCTCATTTCTGTGGCTTCATTTATTTCCTGTGCTCCATTACCGTTCACATCATAATCATTTCACTCCCCTTTTCCAAGCAGAAGAAAAAGTCAATTTCTTAAAATATGGATGTCGTTCTACATAAGGAAATGCACTCTGGGTCTGAGTGTCTCTCTGCAGGGGCTGATGCATGATTGGCCAAGCACAACAGCATCATCTGCGGTTACCATGTTGAGCAAAGCGGGTGG